ATAAAGTTTATTACGATATTAAGCTGAAAATATCAAAGGTCAATGAGAGGCTACCGTACATAAGAGAAGAATACGTGGGAACGAAACTGGTGGTGATACTATTGCTACTATTTTGTACGATATGATGTTTTTGTATATCTGTCTACCGTATGTATATATACATAGGAACGAAGTCTACCGATTATCGAATAGATGGTTCAAATTGTATCGAACACGTATTAAACAATTTGTAGCGTGGCGGACACAAAACTCCGGTTGTATTTACCATGAGTCATACATAGATGTTGTTCCCATTAATGTACACCTGTAAAATCCCTATCGAACAATATATGAACTACTAAAGGATTGGTAAAGAGTACTTTGTAATTTATTCACGTACTCCTTTGTATTTATTTCATGACTCATGTCTTTTGTATCAATAGATATTGTTACATGTACATTTCTCTTAACGCTGATATTATTATAATTTTATGCTAGTTGTATGCTAGATTTCTTTTTATGTATTTTTTTTTTTTCTTATTAAAAAAATTCATTCGTGTATAGATTTAATAGATGAAAATTTTTTTTTTTGATCTTTGATGCAATTTTTAACATTTGTTTTAAAATATGTTCGATAATATTATATAATTCTCTGTAAGCATTTTGCAATTGCAAAATGTAAAATTGCTCGTTTCCAGGATCGACACGTGGATAAGACCACCTGTTGCTTTAGGCAGGAACCAACTGACTGCAAAGGGTGACTGCGAAGTCAGCTGTGCGTAAAATTGCAACTCAAATGCAATGCGTCTTTCAAATGTTTCTTTCTTTATAGAACATTGGTCAACAGCCGAGTATGTGAACATCGATGGCTTCACAATGGTGTTCTCGAAGAGTTTCGAGAGAATTTAACACCAAAAGAAACTTTCAAAACTCGATAGACTTTTTTTTTTTTTAGAATTACGCCTAATCCGCTAAATATAAATATTTAGCAAGTGAAAGTCTCTATTAATCTTCTTTTAATTATATCTAAATAGAAATATGAATTTATTTATCCACGATACTTATCAATAATATTATTGCAATTTAAAAATAAAGCAATTAATCGAAAATTTACGTTATTTTCCAATAATCCATTGGATTTAATTCGAATTAAATAAGAGCTGGTACTCACGTTTCACAGTCTGCGATTTTAGATAGTATTTTCATAAAACTGTAACTGTAAAAACCGTTAAAAAACTTTAAGTCAAGGTTATTTCATAGTATTCTTTAACCGTTTCAACAGTGCGTAGATAATTAACCATTACCATTTTCAGAATCAGCAACAGAAGTTCGAGACGCGAACAGTTTCACGGAAATAGAGCGTGCCTTCAATGTTGTTTCAGAAAAATTGCATCTCTAATTTTCCGTTACATCTCCTTTTGCTCGCCTTCCTGGTGAATTATATAAATTAACGAGTTAATTATAATTATCAATTTTTATCAATTAAATTTAATAATTCTCTATGCATCTTTAAAAAAAAAATCTTTTGAATACCTTTTCAAGTACGTATAAATTTTCCATTTTTCACGTAATTAATAAAAGAGCGATAAAAATCTTTCTAATCTGAAGAAATTATAATTAGACAAAAATTTGTGTATCCCACCATTCATCACGCATAATACATACATCCCAATTTCGTAGCGACAAACACCGGTTATCAATTCTCACGAATATTTTTTTCTACTCGACAAAATACAAATACATGCATACGTAACGCAAAAACAGATAATTAAAGAGATAATTAATTACATTACACTTTTCATATTGCATAAAATTAATCTAATCAAACCGTTTATCTTCAAGCAGAAGCGAAGCCGAAGATAATTCTAATATTCCGTATTAACGTATTTTTTCTGCAGAAAAAACGAAAAGGAAATAAAAGATGCTAGAACATTTTATCCAAGAGAGAAGATACGCGCATACTTCCTAGAAACGACTTCCATCCTCCAGCTTCAACCCAACAACGTGCTCGCGATCGACGTGAGAGGACAGGATCCCGATCCCGATTCCCGAGGACCGCAGATCTATCGCGTTCACCTACGTCTCCCCTTCCACGGCTCTTTTTGCACTACCTCCTCCTACCATCGTTTCGCCATTTCCCTCTCTCCGCGAGCTGATGCACGATGCAGGGGAGAAAGACACGCCGCCTTCTGACCGGCTCGTAGTTGCTCGAAAACCTCTCTTACCTGCGCCGTACGCTCGGTTTTATTCTTCGACACGCTTCCGATCGGTTTCTCGTTTCTCGCGCGCGCGCGCGCGGCTCCTCTCGTCGCCTTCGAAACTCTTCGAACTCTGACCTCAGCGCCATTTTGGTCGCGCCTCCGCTTCCGGCCGCCCGCTCGAGGCCCGCTCGCCTTACCGATCGAGCGATCTCCGAACCCTCGATCGAGCCCGATCGTTCATCGAGAACATGTTCGAAAGTTCGCGCGCCCATTCGTCCATCCGATCGATCCTCGAGTTGTCGTCGGCCAGCCTATGCTTTGATCCATCCCTCCTCTCGGCTGGGGAGAAGTGTCGATTATGATTATATCCCGGGAAGAGATTTGATCGGATATTTTTCTTTCTTTCTTTTTTTTTTTTTTTTGGAAGGATTTTAATTGGGAATTTGATTGATTTGGGATATGAGAGTTTGTCGAGTTTGACGATACGTACAGTGAACGAAGAGTGTGCGCTTCTTCGAAGGATTCTCTTTTGGATTTCGAAAGAATCGTTGGAACGAAGAGTTGATGGAAGATTTAACGCTTGTGATCGATATTGGATGAAGTTGAAGATAGGGAAATTGAATGTGGTCTAAATTAGGATCTTGGAGGAGAGATACCTCTGTGCGGTGAAAACGGTGACATCTCGATCCAGCGTTTCAAAATACAATTACGAAACTTGTAAACGAAGCATCCGTTTCAAAGACAATAATTAAACAAACCCAAAATTGCTCGATTACCAAGCTAGGGAAGTTCTGGGAAGATCCCGTCCAACATGGGCATCTACTAGAAGTCGAATGGCCAAGTTTGGACGCCTCGAGCGAGCCGTTTCCAGACCAGAGAGCCAGAGCTCGAGAGCGTAATTCGAACGGCTATTGACTAACTTGTCGTTTCGCGGCAACCGTGTCAACCGTGATACTCGTCCACCTGGCTCAGCTCGACCGTAAACAAATTGCTCGCGGCCCTTCGAACGCGTAACAACCCGTTCCCTCGACTCGAGGGAACAAATCCTCCAACGTTGGACCTTTGAAACTCGCCTCGAAGTCGTGGGCAATCGTGGAAAGTATCAACAGGTTTCCTGATCTCGATAGGGAGCTCTTCATCCTCCGGTTATCTCCGCAGGAAGTCGGCGCGGGGAGGAAGCTCGATCGCCTCCTCCAGGCCGTCCAATCTCTGGCGAGGAGAACGAGGCTTGGTTAGGGGAAGGATTAGATTGGCAAGTTGGTGTCCGGATGAGACAGTGGTTACCGAAGTGTGTGTGTGTGGGTGGCTAGGAAATTTTGGTGGTGTGATGAGACACGTGCTGTGACATGTTCGATCGTTGATTGAAGTTTGCCGGTGGATCTGTCCCAGGATGTACAAAGTGATTCGGACTCGAGATTAGAAGTTAAACTGGGGAAACTGGTTGTACTGGTTGTAATTTGAGGAGCAGCGAAACTGAACTTCATTTAGAGATAATTTTCTACGATCTGGATTATTTATTTTATTTGGAGGTGTGTTTTTATTTGGAGGTGTGCAGAGTTTTGTATTTGGATTAAAGAGTGAATTAAATATTTTTAGAGTGACTGATATTATTATTATGTTGTTTTAGGATTAAGAAATTACAAGTGTTATGAAATGATTCTTCTTTGTATCGAGGATACGAAGCAATCGGTTGATTAGAGAAGAAAAATTAGGTTAGCGAGGGAATCGACATAACTGGTGAGAAAACCGGTTTGAAAACTGTGGTATCGAGAATCGTCGCGTAAAATCGTTGAATAAATCATTCGGCTCGGATTGTTCGTAGCAGAAGCAATCGAAAGCTGATAATAAGCCTGTATTGACATTTTCGAAGATAAGGAATAATTTATCGTCATAACCGATAAAGGTTGATTTGTGGGAAAATATAATAACAATTGGATATTAAATTTTGAAAATTGAATCGAAATAGAGGAAAATTGTTGCCTTCTTAAGAATGAGGTTTCTTTTATCTTAAGAATGGAAGATTTCATTTAAATACAGATATTGTGGCACGAGAAGTGGATCGATGTATCGAATACATTATCGACACTTTTCGATGTAAATAAAATTCCAATCGCAACATTGCAAGCTTGAGAATATTTCTTTTATGGAATGTTGATCGAAAAATCCCGAGTGTTAATCGAGGAAGATTCGTAAAGTGTGATAGAAACCAGTGAAATATCGCTCGAAGGAGTTAAATCGCAATCACGAATCTTTCACTTCAATCGCGCCTAACGAACTCGAACAACTTCTGGAATTAAGGGGTGCAACATCGTTGAAGATTAACTGGAAGGCCATGAATTTATTGTTCCAAATGAATACCGAGAGCTTTCTCGTAATTTAAAGGATTCGAGATTGTTAAAGATATTGAAAGAGGAGTTTAAAAAACTTCGTAAAGTATATTCTGACCGTGATTACGACTAATTTAAGGATTAATCTACGTTTTCTTTCAACGAGTGTTAATCCGGTTAATACAGAAATATTGCGAATATTTTATAATATTTTTGCTCTTCGAGTAAAGAACACTCCTCTTTGTTAAATATTCTTCAAAACTCTCGAGAATTCTCGCAGAAATCGTACAGAAGCGAATTAAAGAATAAGATACGCAAAATTTGCGAACAAAAAATCAACTCAAACTGAAACGCTGCAATAATTTCACGCAATAACCCAACGAGATAATAACCATTCCAAGAAAACTTATAAAAATTCTACTAAAAAACATTCGCAAAAGTAGGTCCAAAGAAAATTCTCAGAACTCTCTGTAGAAGCTCTATAACAAGAAGAAAGCTTATAGCGCATTACACCACTTACCTACTAAGCATACCAAGAAAGAGTTGCCCAACAAACGTTCCAAACGAAACGTTCATCCAAACCGTTGCGACGTAGAGTTAAAAGTGAAACGGCTCGTCCAAAGCCAATCCTCTGACCCTGCAACCGACCGAGAACTTTCGTCGATTGTCTCTCCAAAGATCTGCCGGTCGCGTGATTCATCGAGGTCACCGGTTGAGCGGGTCAGGGCCGCGAGTTGTGTGGCTTCAGGTCGGTGCAACCTGGATTTCTGCACGATTTAACGCGGTCGCTGTCTTCTTTTAGTTTTGCACAACCGTGCAGCCATTCTTGCAGCCATTATCTGTGCAACATCGGGACGATAAAATTCTATTCTTGCACCGATAAGAGGCACGCGGATTCTGCTGATTAATCGCGCGCCGACCGATTTTAGCCTCGTTTCTCGTCTTGAGTGGATCGAGTGAAGTGTCCATCGAGCTTCTTAAACCTGAAAAGTGCGAAACACTTTCCCATTCTTCCGATGGGAAGTGGACTGTGAAGTGATTTGGTGGAATTGGTGGAAGAGGTGGTGAACGAGGAGTTGGGATCAGGGAAATTGGACACTGGTGAGTATTTAAATTTGGATAAATTTTTAGGGATTTTTTTAGGATGATGGAGGTTAAGGTTATTGGGTTAAGAATGAGATAAGAATTTTTATAAATTTGTGAAGTGGAATTGGTAGACGGTGGTGAAAGTGGAGAAAAGTTGAGATCAGGGAAAGTGAAGAGAATTGGTGAGTAAATAGGGTATTGATGATTTTTAGGGTAGTGGAAAAATTTAGATTGATATGGTATAAATGAAAATATTGTGTGATATAGCAAATTTTAGGGTAGATAGTATTTGTTAAGTAAAGAAAAAAATTTGTAGAAAATATTGGTTGAGAAGTTATTTTCCAAGTTACAAACAATTATCTGTTTAAACGTGAGTGATTTACCGACTTAATGAATAATTCTTTGATAGAGAGGTGTCAAGTATGATGTGTAAAAAATGAAAGATATGAAAACTTTTTGCAAGTAACGAGAAGAAATGATAAATGATATTTTTTGTTTTTACGTATTTGCTTTAACCGAAACAAAAAATTGTTTAACTTTGAAGATATTGAAGTTAAAAATCTAGATTATTATAATAGTTACGATATTCTTCGATCAGTTTTATTTTATATATTTCTCTAAGAGATAATAGTTTCTTCTTATTTATATTATAATTCTTCATAATTTTATAGCAGAATATTCAGTAGCAAGTTTAAAATGGCTGTTAAGTTAATAAAATTATCTTGTTCAATCATCTAAATTCTTTTGCTTATTTTCATGATTGGGATTCAGTTATAATAATAATGGGATTTTATATAACATATGCTTATTCCAAATAATTTCTATATAATTCTATGCTCTTTTCTCGATAGTTAAGTAATTTCGTTATTCTCTGTCCATATTTCTGAAAGCTACTTATCAAAAATTATTATAGAAAATTATTATTCATAAAAGTTATTAGATTTAAGAATTCTTTAAATTTAAATTAAAAAGGAAGGTATTATTACTACTTCCGTTGCTGTAAACTAAAGAATCGCGTATTTTTTTATAACTATTTATCGAATCTATTTTAATATCTATCATATCATAAAAGACAAAAATATGATAGTTACATTTAAAAAATTTAAAGCGACTATGAAAAAGAATTATTTTTATTATAATATATAATTAAAATTATTATATATTATTATACGTCATACCATCCCGTTAAAAAATAATCAAAAAATCTTAGATATTATAAATAATTATTATACATTTTCCAATTATTATTTAAGAAAAAAAAAAAGGTTTCTTTACGATACTTATATTTTTAAACTTTATATTTCTCTTCGAATGGATCGTCGTAACTAATAGCTTCGAAAAGAATCGTTTTAAGAATTATATCTTTCTTTCGCCGTTTTTTATCTATGCACAATGAATGATCGACGATTAAAAGAGGTTAATAAGCACCGATCGAGATACAATACGATACTCTGAAGAGTATCGTGGTCGATCGTTCGACAGTGGCGCCATTCCGGCGAAACGAAAACGAAGAAAGGGAGGAATAATCATCGTCGTAGCAAGAATATACGAGATTATCGGTATCCTTGCAAAAATAAGAAACCTCTTGTCGTTGATTGACTGTTCGGGCGTGCCGGGATTCGACCTGTTCGAAGATTAACTCGGCAATTAAGCGATACTCGTGCTTCTTTATTTTCCGTGGTTCGATCGTGTCTTCGATTAATAATCAGGGGAGTGGTGCGAGAACGCGTCCATTTTTACGTACGAGTGTTGACCTCGATTGCGGGGATCGTGGTCTGGATCGTTTTTCAGGTGGAGAGATATCGTGAATGGTTTGTGGTTACCTCGAAAGTGCGCTAGAAGAATCGAACGTGTACACTGTCGCTCAAAAGTATTTGGATCTTGGATTCTCAATGAGGGATAATTTTTTTATTGAAATTATTTTTTTTAATTTAACAATTGCTTTATATATTACTGCCTTTAATTTATTTCCATCTTTCGTTTCTGAAAAAATTGGAAATAATATTTATAGTAATATCACATTTTCAATTTTATAAAGTTGCGAAACGGTATCAAATTTGACTGCCATTTCGATTAGAGAAAACGCCCGCGAAATTCAAATTTTTCAGAAATACGATTACCTCTATTCCCAAGTTTTTTAAAGCCAAATTTTCCTGCAAATATTAAATTTACATGAACATTAAAATTATTATAGACTCGTGAAATCTCGCCATTTCAATAGAGAAAAACCCGCGAAATTCAAATTTCTTTCCAAGAACACTACTCTTCATTTCATTCTCAGATTTTCCACACGAATTTCTCAACAAAAAACTATCCTTCACTTTCATTTCCAGCCTCTCCACTCTTCAAATTACTTTTTAAATCACTTAAAGGAATCCTTTCCTCTCATAAACGACAGTAGACAGTAAGGAAACCGAGTGCAGCGCAACTCGCCTCACGAGTAAGGTTTTACACAGCTCAACTGATGGATGAGCGTTGATTGCCCGGCTGAAGCTTATTAACTTCTTCCCGCAACTTCGTTAGAACGGTATCCCCGCAATTAAGTTTCTCGAAGGCGAGAAAATCTGCGACTCTTATCGCGCCAGAATTTTTCTTCTTTTCACTCTTCTTCCGACCATTTCTTGCTCCACCCTTGAAATGGAAGAATAAGAAGAAAAAGAAAAAGAAGAAGAAAAAGAAGAAGAAGGAAGAAGAAGAAGAAGAAGAAGAAGATGTCCAGAGACTCGGTTCCGCTCTTTCTTGAGAAACGATCGTGGTGATTTGTGGCGCTCCCCGAGATATATCTCGCTGGTTGCGCGTCACTTTGCTTTTTCTTCTTGGATTCGAAGGAAGATGCGGAACGTCCAGGAACGCGAGTCGAGTCGTATAGCAAGTTGAATAGACGTTCGCGGACTTTTTGTCGAGGTTCAACCGTGTGCCGAGATCATACGTCTTTCTTCATCTTTGTATACACGGTGTGGTGAATATGAGCCGCTCTTGTTTTTAAAAATTATGATAATGATCCTGAAATATGTTGTATAAGGTGTAGTGGATATAGTGGTGATTCGAGGAAGGAATTTAATCGTGTCTCATGATTTTCTATCTCTCTTTTTTTTATTTCTCTATATACTCGAAGATTTCTTAATTAGATGTTTTAATCAGAGAGGTTTGATTATGAAGAATCAGCAAACCGCAATTTGAACAAAAATTTACAGAGTGCATATAGAAAAAAAAACCAAAGAATCTCATTACGATCTTTAATTATTATCGATCAAAATTTAAATTTATCCATCCTCGATCCATCATCCTCATCCGTCGCTATCAAATTTTCACAGAAAAAAGACGATTGCGAAAGTTCGAGCGTATTATTATAAAATAGAAATTCGAGTCTGATTCAATAATGAATAATGGAACACGCTCGAAAGAAGTTTCACGACTTTCCTCGATAATGATTGTGGGCAAGATTTCACCCTCGGATTACGAAACTAGTCAAATCATTGTCGCTTTAGACGGTAAAACGTTTCGATCGTTAAAGAGTCAGCCGGATTGTCGGCGTAATGCCACGGTCATAAAACGCGAACTTTCGCGTTCACTTGTTCCTTTCGCACGCATCTGCCGTAGAGAGCAACGCGGAAACGTTTTGCTCTCCTTTGAAAAGTTTCAGCTCATACTTACTTAGGCTCGGCTCGACCGGAGAAATCTCTGGCTACTCGTCAACTCGGCATTATTTATTTCGTGACCTTTTGCGGCAGGATTGCATTTTTCTTTGAACCTTAAAAAAAAAAAAAAAAAGAAATGAAGAAATTCCTTCATAATATTATTTTGTAAAAAAAAAAAAAAAAGAAATAATAATAATATTTAAAAAAATTTAGATAAATATATAAGATCGTTATGAGATCTAATCGTCAAAATATAAATTTATAATATTATTCGTTATATCCCCTTGGATTAAAGGGAAGCTTTAAACGTACATACATCAGATACGTGCCACTATTCTTCAAGTTATGGTGTACGGGTCATCATTCATCCTAATCGTTCCTACATATATCTAATGTTAAATATGAATCTAATATTACGAATAATGCATTTAACGGTACCTTGTGACGTTACCGTTTCACTTTTGCCTATGCCTTCTTCACTTTTCTCCCCATTTATGTCCGTTCGCTGAATATTCAACCGGCGATCTCAACCGGCCAATTAGCATGAATCCTCCGCAGAAATGATCGAAACGGGTCTCGAAACGAAATCACGTTTCACCTTTCTCGTCTTCCCTGTTTATTCCGGTCGACGTTTCGCTAAGAGATTCCCTTCTCCCGTGAATAGATTGATTTATCGGCGTCTCGTTATGCAAATATCTATTCTTGTCTCCGTCTTGCTTCTCTCCTTTTTCCCTCCCTCCTTTCTTCCTTTTTAGTTAGTCTTTCTCTCCCTCTGGAAAAAAGAGTAGATGAAGTGCACACGAGGTGATTTTTTTTTTTTTTTTTTTTTTTACGATTCTGCACGCGACAATTTCGAAATCGAGCCGATTCCTTATACGTGTTCGAATGTAGGACACGATCTTAATTTTTATTTAACTTCTAACCTTTTTAAAAGTAATGTAAAATTTTCGGATGAATTTTTTTCATTGAACTTTAATCCTCGAGAAATTAATCAATCATTTTCTTCTTCTAAGATATCGAATGATATTTCAATCATTTGTTGTATTTGTTATTTGTATATTGCGAGTAGTTTTTAAAGAAGAAAATATTCGTGAAAGCGTGAAATAGATAATTCTTGGAAAATTGTCAATTCGTGTCAGTTAAACGTTCGCAAGAAATTTAATTTGTCTCATCACTTTCCATCACGTAGTTACTTGTACACGTATACTTGTAAAACGGTTTCAAATGCGCCACTATACCATACAATTTCGCAAACTTTGCGTATCTGTTTAAATTTGGGACACGATTGATCAATATCAATGTGGGCGAGCAATGGAATAGAGGCAACGAACGATATTCGTCTTTCTTTCGAAACTTATTTCGTATTTAAAATGTATAATTAGACGGCTGAAATATACGTAAGCCTGATTATCACATCAGAAATTAATATATGATAATCGATATGATCGATATTTTTATTCAAAATGTTAATTTATCTTCAAAAAATAATTACTCATAATACATATTCAAAGTTCATTTTTACCATCTATTATTGAAAATCATTGCATTACTCAATGCAATTACTCTTTATAATAATAAAAAAATTAATAATTTAAATTTTAAATAATTTAAAATAATAAAAAACTTAATAATAAAAAAATAATATTACAATACCTGATACATCAAAATGAAAGAAAAAAAAAAAATATTTCGTAAGAAACACGTTTACTTCGAATTTCGCAATGTTAATTTTTCTAAAACTAAAAAAAAATTACATCGATCTCAAATTTTTATCACTCTACACTCTACGATATTCTTCAATTCGATATAACAATTTTCCAGAATACTATATTTCTCGAACCACTCACATTTCTCTGTTCGTCAAATATTTAATCAAAATCACATCCAACATTCCACCCAATCAGCAACAAATTCACGCACGCTGTTCCCTTAAAATATACGATTTCAAATCTATATGTTCGATGCGCGTCGTCGACTTCGCTTCTTTTTCCCCTCCCCCCACCTCTTATTCAGATGTAAATGGATCGTGGTCGCGGCTCATGGCGAACTCGTGGTGAACCTTGATCGAAACAGCGGAAGCGTCGTCGAATTCCGAGGGTACGCCAAGCGAATTTGCATCCTGCACTTGCACGACCGATCCCGAGGGAATTCAGCACCGTTACAGACCGTGCGAACCAGCGATAAAGATAAAGTCTCGCTTGCCACCCGGGGACCCCGAGTAAATCAACGCTGCTCGCTTCCACGACCTCTTTTTTCCTCCCTTGATTCGATTTAAATACCGTATAAAGAGAGGGAAAGATGATTTCATCTGTTGCGGATGCGTGGCGTCTATTATAATGATTTATTGTGCTAATTTCGAAAATAGAGAATCATCCCTTGTACGATAATTTATATTATTATTAATAAAATAATTTAATTAAGGGTGAGAATTATATTCGAATTAATAAAATATAACGAAAAGGAAAAGTATGTATATTTTTAGAAGAATTAAAAGTTTTAAATATTTTTATTTACATTTTTTTTTTTTAGATTTTTTTTTTGGTTAGATTTAAATCTTTCCTTTTTCACTCGAAGTCCTGAGTGTATTTTTAGTTATACAGAAAAACGGTGATTGGATTAACACGCGTTTCCTTTCGCGATCTTTGCCGTTCATTATATCATACGACCGTCTCTTCCCGGTTCTAACATTGTAATCGCAAAAAGTTGCATAATCATCGATAAATCAGCATCTATTACGTCTGCTCCGTCTCTGGTTTCTTTAAGTGTAGGCAATAATTAACAAGTGAGCATGAGAAAAGCGAGAAATTTAGTGTTTTTCCTCTGGTGCCCATTCAGCCCGAGCCTGATGAATAATTGATGGACTTTATGAATACGTAAGGCAGTTACATTGTAAAGCCAAGTTGGTTCAGAATTATTACACCCTCTTTCACCCACGCGTGTGTATACACTATACAATAATAACGCGGTTGATTGCAGTAATATTTGCACACGATATCCTGCGAACGTTGTTTAAACAAAACTGAATCGACAACCGTAAAATTGTCGGTTTAATTTATGACAGTACTCACTATTAGTTAGATCTAATTGTTTTAACATGGATCCGCATGTTACGTATACCCTACTATAATCGTGGAATTGTTCGAGATGAAATCGAGAGGAAACGAATGTGTTGGATGTGAAGTAAATTTTCTACTTCTTCTTGTTTTTTTTTTTTTTTTTTTTTTTTTTTTAAGATTCGCCAGATGATATTACCAAAGAAATGAAATTACATTCAGTAATGATTATAGACTATAATGATGATGTAATTCGAAGATAAGTGTACTTTCACTGATGTTTTATGTAATTAAAATAATGTACGATGGTAAAAGATTGATGGAATAATTATGTTTCTTATTTTGTGAGCGAAAGATGAGATATTTGATATTTTGTTATTATGATATTGAATAATTATTTTTTGAGTATAGAAAACAGGATTGATTAAATATTTAAAAAAAATCAATGTATTCTTTATTTATTAAAATCTCATTCGGATAATCTAATTAATTTTGCGTTTTAATTAAAAAAAAATATAGTCGAAAAAATTTTTATTGAATTTTTATGAAATGCAATTTGTTGCAATTGTTATTTTTAAACGGTAATATTTTTTTACAAAACATTTAATATACAATCAATCTTATTCACAATATTATCTCTATAATATTTTGCATAAGTATAAAGATTTAATATGAGAGATAAAAATATATATATTTTTAAAACACCATTTATGAATTTATGGTCGGTAAAACTTATCGTCGATCAATGGTTGTTTAAAAAATTTGAACATTGTTTTTGATATCCTCTTTGAATACGGATGTATTCAACAAATGTATGAATAAAGATAAATACTTTTTCGTAAAGAGTTCGAACTTGATGGGATACGACAATAAACAAGTTTAGTTCTCTTTCAGCGCTTAACAACAAAGTAATTAATCTTAATTAAGTTCAGTTTATACTTTAAGGCCATTACTTACATCAATTTATAACGAAATAAAATTATGATTAATATTTCAAAGAGTTCTTACACGAACGTTGTAAACTTTGATACGTTCAAAGATGCGTTCTAATTAAATCTGTTGCGCATAATTAAAGTCAAATTAATTATAATTACGCATAATCGCAAGTATCTACATAAATTTTAAATTTATTCTAATAAGAATCTAATAAGATTACTCAATCTTTATCCATTTTTACTTTAACATTTTTACATTTGCAAGAATGCGCACAATTTTTACTATCAATCCTAACCTAACCTAATCTCAAAAATTTCAATTCAATTTTTTTTTTTAATAAAGATTAAAAATTTTATACGCATTAACAGACGATACTTTCGATTCAATAATCCTTAAAAACCGATCCATCATGCAATTTAAACGAGCAGCCAACCCCTAAAATTATCAATTATCGTTCCATTACGAACGAAAATGCTACCCACCCTCCCTATTTTTTCCTATTTATTAAACTATCCTATACATTAAACGAGAGAAAGAAAATATTAAACAAATAACCACGAAGAAAAACGGATAAAAGGATCGTGCACACACAATTTTCACTACCAATCAACCCCTCCTCGAGCCACGTAGTTATTTGTATCGTGTGCTTGTCCGTCAACGATCTATCATCGCCCTTATATATATATATATTTTCTTTTTTCTTTTTCTCTTTCCTACCATTTCCCAGCCGGCTGTCTTTCACTCCTATTACAGATATATCAGTCTGTATTGATTATGCCAGCGGTGTAGTCCAACCGACGTGTTACTATCGATCGAGACGGATAGAGACGCGTGGGTGGAACGTGGACGTTCCAGTTTTCTCGACCCGAATTGCCCGTTTCTTTTCTTCGCGCTCATTTCAATTTCAACCGATCCTCCGCTCGGAGAAATCGCGCACCATGCCATTGGTTCGCCTCGTTTTCGAGGAATGGGGAAGGGTTTCGAACAGGGGGACGTCGGTGAAGTCGAATTTTCGCGGCATGCAAATGGCGCTCGTTGAATTTTTATAGGCGATAGTGTGCTGTTCCTTCGTTTTTTTTTTTTTCCTTTTCTTTTTCTTTTTCAGCTGCGAGGTCGTTAGAGTAATTTTATCTCGATGGAAGTCGAAGGGTGGTTTGACAAACATGAAAAATCTATGTATATATATATATATTTTGAATATGTTGAATAATTTGGTTTGATTGGAATAAAAAGATCGTTTTTTTTTTATTTAAATTAATTTCGAAAGTTGGATAAGATTTGCGATTAATGTGGATACGCTTATGGATTTCATAATCCTTTTATTATGTCCTACTATGACTTAATTATGTATTTGAATTATTCGGGAATTGAGGATAAAATTGAATATGCAAATAATATTTAATATGGGATAATGACACTGAATTTGTAGTTCTGAAATTCTGTTTGGATTATTTAAATTAATTGATGTATATATTTATGAGCACGAATAAATTGTGGACACGATAACGTATATTTTTTGAGGATTTGGAATTAACGATTGATTAAAGATTTGGAAATTTAATTGCGAGATTGCCAGAGAGAAATTTAAAAAAAAAATGTCGACTGATAAATGCGAGGCTTAAATGGAGTTTACGTGAATGCCTTTGATAATTGCAAAATAACGTGTCTTTGTCGTTTAAAAATTTCACGATTTCCCTTAACCAACCGCACACAATATAGACGATTAATGTTTTAACGCAACTGTTTTCTCTACGTGACTTTCTTCTCCGAATTAATTTCT